TGTGTGTGTGTGTGTGTGTGTGTGTGTGTGTGTGTGTGTTTGATGTTTGGGCCATATGCAGGTCAGAAGATAGCTCTGTGGAGTCAGTTCTCTCCTCCATCGTTGTGTGGACTTCAGGAATCAATCTCAGGTTTCCAGGCTCCCAAGGAAAATGTCTTTTACCTGCTGAGCCATCTCACTGGCCCACAGAAGTTACTACATATAGAGGAATATGCAGAAATTATGGAATGGATATGAAGTAGTGCACTAAAAATGGTGATGTAGACATAGTTATCTACATGAAGAGAGAGCTCTAAAGAGTTGCCAAAATATATACAAAACAGTAATTGTATCAGTCTTGTTAATACTTGCAATGGAATTGGTAGTTCAATTTTCTATTTTTTTAGGCTTTTGGTATGCCAAGCACACAATTATAATGTAACTATATTTACATCAAGGGAGACAAAAGGTATTTGTAAAGTAACATTTTAATAAAACAATAAACCTGTTTTTACAACAGTTATTTTAAGCTACAACATTTGAAGTATGATCTTCATTTTTCTTGATACAGTCCACTGAGACAGCTTCTAGTCTGTTTCGATATAATATTCTTTCTGGGACAGTTTGATTTGTTCTTCTCATCACAAGAAGATGGCCTGCTATCAAAGCCGAAATAAAAAGCTCCATGAGTCCTCCCCTACAGCCCTAATCCTTCCCTGGGGATGTCTACTTCCTCTGTTATTAGCTCAGAATCAAAGAGGGGAGTGTGCATTTCACACAAGTTACAGTCCTCCTTTTTCCGAGGAGACCAAAGGCTCAGGCCTGCTGTTAACGTTATTCTAAAGAACTGAGCAATTCCCTTTAATAACAAAACCCCAGCCAATTCAGTGAAAAATGCGTTCAGGGCTAGAGAGAGTGATCAACAAGAGTGAAAAAACTTGTTACCTAAACATTTAATCTCTCAAGCGGGATTGTGTGAAGTTGAATTATTATTCTACTTACTTGATTTGTAACTTTAACAAATTACTCTCAGCTCCAGTTTCCCCAACTATAAAATAACCATGTTATCTTTCTTCAAAGGATTCTTGTGAAAACCAAAAGAGAAATCCCATGTACACCACCTTGCCCAGAGCCTGGTACTTGGGAGAGCTAGGTGTAAGTGTCTTAATTATCTGTTGTGTAATTACTCTAATTTCTATATGTCAGAACCTTGCAGCCTCTCAACTTGTCCAAGTAACAACTGGTGAGATTCAGTTCCTATGAGCTGTGGACTAGGGCCTCTCTACATGGTCGTTTCCATCAGGGTACCTTGCCTCATTACTTAGCATGAGAGACCACCAGGGTGAGGGAACATACAAGCACAGTGGACATTGCAGGCTTGTATAGTCCAGTCTTAGATGTCACACCATGTTACTTTTATATATTCTTTTCTTTATCTGCAACCCACCAGGCCCAACCCACACACAATGGGAAAAGTTTATATGCAGAAGTAAACATGTGGAGTTAGGGCATTTTCAAAATGCTCTATTACAGTGGTTTTCAATCTGTGGGTCTATTGTGATTCATAACAGTAGCAAAATTACAGTTATGGAGTAGCAATGAAATAAATGATTTTATGCTTGTGGGTCACCACAGCATGAGGAACTGTATTAAAGAGTCACAGCCTTGGGAACCACTGCTTTATCAGGTCATTAGCCATGCTTTTCCAGGATAATACTAACTTCTGAGAAGTATCCTGAGTGGGTTTTGTAAATATTGAAAACCTAAACAAGTAGCTAAAGGTCCAACTGAAGTTAGTGGGTGATTTTATTTGAATTATTATCTGTGTTGACCCTGTGATGAGCTCTTCACGGGCAGATCCTACCATAAATGAAAGAGTGGATGCTATAAAAATCTTCTTTGACAGTTATATTACAAAATAGTGAGGGTTTCTCATTTCCAAATATAACCTAACTCTGCATTACCCAACTATTAAAGGAGTTGGACACCACCCAGGCTTGGGGTCACCCCCTGCTGAAAGCAAAGGCAGGCTGCCCAATATTCAGGGTCCATCCACGTCATGCTTACCTCTTCCAGTCTTCTGGCTCTTAACTGCCCCGGGCTATTGTTTCATCTTCAAGGTTTACTGTGTGAGACATCACAGATTTCCTTCATTTCTCACAGCACCCAAGAGATTTTCTGTTACCTCATTTTAGAAAGTGATTCAGTTTTCCCAGGGTATATTGTATCGTTTTCAATTACTGTAGCAAAATATCTAAATTGAGGTAACACGCAAAGAAAGGAGGTTAGTTCAGCTCACAGTTTTGTACATTCCAGAGTGTAACACGGACATTGGCTGAGCGCAATAGAGTCCCACTTTAGCTACACAACAGTAGATGTCATCGGAATGTGACAAGGAGAGGCCAGACAGTAGCAGAGGAAGCCAGTGAGAAGGGAAGGACTGATTTTTGTTTATTATTTTTGTTTATTAACAACTCTCTTGAAAGAATGAGCTGTAGATCCTATGAAAAACACAGAGGCCATTGACATGGTCTCAATTAGTCTTCATTTTTTTTAGTCTTCAGCACCTTTCCACATTGCAAAACCCAGGACCAAGTTTCCACTGTGAACCTTTGGGAGACTCATTCAGACTATAGCATTCTGTCCCTGAACCCTATGCCATAAATTTTCCAGATCATCTATCCTTTCATCTCCAATGGTCCCCAAATCTTTTTTTTTTGGTGGGGGGTGGGGAGTTGAGATAGGGTTTCTCTGTAGCTTTGAGGCTGTCCTGGAGCTTGCTCTGTAGGCCAGGCTGGCCTCAAACTCACAGAGATCCGCCTACCTCTGTCTCCCAAGTGCTGGATTAAAGGCCTGTTCCACCACTGTCCGGCTCCCCAAATCTTAATTTACTCCAACATCATTCAAAAGTCCAAAGTTTTATCTGAGACTCGAGACAAAATCTGTCCAGATATAAGTCAGTAATAAATGTAAAAACTTTTACATGTTATTTACTTCTAAGATACCACACCAGGAAAATATGAAACAGAAAAAATGGACCTAAACCAAGCCTGGAACTCAGCAGGAAAGACTGAATCTTGTGGATAGGAGTTGACCCCTGAGGCCCTCAGGCAGCTCCACCCCACAGCTTTGCTGGTTCTGTCCACATGCCAGCCACAGCTCTCTGGGCTGCTTGCTGCTGTCTGTAGCTTCCATAACCTGGTTGGCACACTCTGTCTGTTCTACCATCATAGGGTTCCAGCTGCAGCTCTGTCCCTGCAGACCAGCTAAGCCTTCTTCCAGTGGGAATTCTTTGTACAGTTCCACTCTTGCAGTCTAGTTCTTGAGCTTTCATGTGAATCTGTAGAAGCTTCCATGACCCCACCACAACCCTGTGCACCTTCAGGACTAACACCACGGATACCAATAGCATGGTTTGTACCACAGCTGGAGCTGCCATGGAATCTTTGCCATTGGATAGTAGAAAACAGAATTCCATGGTGGCCCTGAGCAACAAACCCATGGAGAGTAAGAACTCTGTCAAGATTAAGAGGTTAGCTGGATAGCCAGATGAAAAGCAGCAAGCATGGATAGGCCTTGGTTCTATAGTGTGACAGAATTAATTTAAGACAGACATAAAAATTAGTATGAAAAAATGACTCAGCTTCTAAGAGAAAATATGAAAACATCTTCTCTAACTAGAGACAGGCAAAACCTTCTTATGCACCGAAACCTTAATTTAAAAAAAGCCTTGGTGTATCATAATTCTCACAAAATCAAAAATACTTGATTATCAAAAGCTACCATTAAGTAAAAATATAAGCCATAGATTTAAAAATATGTTTATCCAACATAGGACTTAACATGGAATGTATTTCTTAAATTAACAACAAAAACACAATGAATCCAACTTTAAAGTGAGCAAGCACCTGTGTTAGCTACTTTTTGGTTGCTGTGATAAAACACCATGACCAAGGCAACTTGTGTGTGAGCACATTTGCATGGCCATTATGTCAAGGAAAATACTCAGCAGCATTCCTTACCACTGAAGTGCACATTAAAGCCCACAACAAGTAACATGGTCTGCCCTTGGAATGATGATGAAGAAGAAAACCAACAAGAACAAGTGGTGGGAAAGAGTTGTAGAAGAACTGAACCTCATAAGTTACTGGTTGGAAAAAAATATTACAATTGCTTTGGAAAAATATTGCATGGTTTCTGCTGAAGTCAAACATCACCTGTCTCATGACTTAGCAATTCCACTACTAAATTTATAAGCATGAGCAATAAATATGCATTCCCATAAGAGAGTTGTTTAAGAAGAACACACATGGGAAATTTATTCACAATAGCAGCAAAGTATTATAATACTCACAAATGTCTATTAACAGGAGAATGAGCAACAAGTTCATCTTCCATGTGTAGACTACTACACATCAATAAAAAGAAATTAATTCACTGACCTGCAACAACATGAAATTCGATATGCCACATATCTACTAATAAGTACTTTAGAATTCTATTTGACTTTCAGGAATAGGCAGAACTAATCTATGGATATAAAAGGATGTTGTTATCTTGGGCTGGGGAAGGGAATGCTGTTACCTAGAGAGATTCATGACCTAATTTTCTCTGGTTTTGTATTTTAAGTTTGGGACTAAGTGATGGCTGAATAATTATATAAATTTTTGTCTTTGAATCAACATTCTTAATATACAATATAAAAGCAAACCTCAATAAACATTGAAGAGTATGAAAATAACATTGAAAATGTTCTATTCTAATTGGACAGAATTCCAGGCCCACTTTCACTGCCTCACTTGTGTTAGCAACTTGTCTCATTGCTGTGGCAAAACACCCCACAAAAGCAAAGAAATTCAATGGAGGAAGGGTATTCTGGCTCACAATTTAGGGTACAGTCTATCATGGAGTGGCAGGAGTTTTGGGGACCCTGGTCACATTGCATCTTCAGTCAGGAAGCAGGAAAGATGGACACCGGTGATCAGCTTCTTTTCTCCTTTTTAAACAGTCCAGAAACTCAGCCTAAGGAGTGGTGCCACCCACAGTGGTCATTCTACTTCAATTAACCTAATCTAGAAAACCCTACAAAGGTGTGTCCAGAAGCTTATATTCAAGTAATTCTCAATCCCAAGAACCTGGTGGTCAGTATTAATTCTCAAACCCTCCAAAAACAGAAAAGAGAAAGAAAAAACTTTCAATGTTCTAGTGTGTCCTATTTGGAGAAATATACTTATGCATCCATCTCTGTTGAGAATATCTGGCTAATTCACTTATCCAAGAGCTACTTGTGAAACATCCACTATACCTTCAAAGAGTATAGACATTTACCGAACCATACACTGGCCTTTGACTGGCAGTCCAGGCTCCTTGGGAATGCAGGAAGAGAGCCAGCTCCCACTCAGACACCCTAACTCCTGGTTCAACCAGAAATTCAGGAGTAGTTTCTTCACATGCCCACAGGAGAGTGGGTGGGGACTGGGATATCCTCACTCCTGTTTAGCCCCTGCCTTTTTTCTCATGGCTTGCTTGACAGTGGGGGTTGAGGGAGGGAGCGGTCATCTTGGTAGACAGGAGGCTGACAAATCGACTTTAAGATCTGAGTTTGTTCAAAGGAATCAATCTATTCATGGGCAATCCCAACTGACAAAGAGTGGTTGTCTAGCTGACAGGGGTGTCAGAACTGAGTTTGAAGACTAAGGGAATGTGTTTAGTAAGACAGACTTTTGTGCACACAGGAACATGGGTGGGGAAGGAATCAGTGTGTTCCCAGGGTCTCTGCTGGCTGAGTGTATCTGCACTATAGTCTTCCTCCATTTTCCATGTTTCTTGTTGCATGAAACAGAATTGGACTCAGGCTTTGGGGCCAAAGGCACAATCTGCATGTTGTAGGTGTTCACCAAGGGCTCATCCATTGTCTCTAACTAACTAAGGCAATAGCCACAGTTCTCAGCAGTCTGGGCTCTAATGCAAGGAAGCCACACCTGTGCTAAAGTTTGACAAGTTAGTTCTACCTTCTGTCCCCTGACCAGAGTCCTCTATCCTCAACTTCCAAGAATTTCAGTATCTTCTCTTGCCTTACCATTGATAATATTGCAACAAGAAATACCAAGAACTTTATAAAGTTATTTATTTATAGGACTTTTTAGGTAGACATTTTGATATCTAAGACTTAGGAACCAGCACATGCATGAACATACCTAAAATCTTTTTGGATGAACTCTTCAAAGAATAAATGTGGAATTCTCAAGTTCAAATTTTAAAAGTTAGTGACAAGTTCCCCACCCCAAGCAGTCCTTTGAAAGGGTCAAGAGTCATCAGTAAAGATCCATAAGATCTTTACAGTGAAGTAAAACAAAGATGAGACAACCACCCATCCTCGCATGTTAAAGTCGAGTGTGCACATTTATGCTGTGTGTCCTGCTGCCACTCTTTCTTCTTGTCTTTCTTTTTCCTTCTTTCTTTCTTTTTTGAAACAGGGTTTCTCTGTGTAACAGCTCTGGCTGTCCTGGAAACAGGCTGGTCTCAAACTCACAGCCATCTCCTGCCTCTGCCTTCCAAGTACTGGGATTAAGAATGAGCCCTTCTAATTAAAAATAAAAGCTATTTGCATTTTTATGTTAATAAAAAGAGTATTGCTCTGCCCAAGAACTCCAACAATCACCTGTGAGGTTTAAGGAAGGAAAGAAACTTTCTTGAAAAGTATGTTGAAGAACCAAGAAGTCTGAACATCAGGCACCCACTGCTCATCATGATGTGGTCCCTAAGTGTGTGACAGCATGTAAAATCCTCAAGCTATGCCACTAGAAATCTATGTGAAACCAGTTGGAGGGACATTTCCCCATCACCATACCCTTATTCTTGTGGCCATACTAATGTGTAGGGAGCCGTTCCTGCATTCTCCATTACAATGATGGTGCCTGCAGGCACCAAATGTAAATTATTTCACAGGCGCTGGGTAATTTCCATTCCTTTGATCTCTGCCTATCCCGTGGCTCATTTGGCCTGAGGAGCTGAAGCCATTCATAGGGTAACACGTCCCAGGCGGCCGCGGCCAGCCTTTATTAAGGGATGGGATTCTTGGCTCAGAGTCTCCGCTCTGGTAAGCTTATGCTCTCCCACTCTCAAGATGCATTAAAGCTTTCCTGCAGAAGGATCCGAGTGTCCTGTGTGTATTTCTTGCCGGCGAGAACATATAGCGTGCAGGACACTAATGCATCTCCCTTCAGTATCAGCTCTGGTTTCTGATTCAGTGGA